AACGTATTCTTCCGTCTTAAAAGTAAGTACTTGTTTTAGTACATTGGCCACCTAATGCAAATTGGCAATGACAGAAAAGTAAACGTCAAATTGAAACATGTTTACCTAATTTGGGCGGATAATTGTTTAAACCTGATACTTAAGTTAATCCTCCTTATGTTATTATACATGAAACATCGGAATGTATAAAACCAGTTGAAAGATAGTAATTTTGATTGAACGCGCGAACCGTTTTATTTAGCGACAAAATCACATCATTCGCTCGTAAATCGTGCAATTATAGGTATTAACCAATTAGAAAGCCCCCTAATACTAATCGTGACGTGTTTTAATACAACCTATCATGGTTTGAATTACTTTAAACCCACTTCTGAGTTTCTTACTTCAAACCTAAGCGGGAAATAATTTAACGACTTTGGAGACACATAAAGCTCGTAACTTCAAATAAGACTGTAGATTGGAGTCATTTTGGGATTTTAGAGTTGATTACATAAAGTATGCTAGCAATGGAACACCTATAAACCAGATTAAACATACTTCGTTAATATTTAAATAGGTATCATAAGCCTTATCCTACTCGGATATAGTTTAAAATTAATTTGAGATTAATTGCTACAACAATGGAAAATATTATCGATTGGTCTTAATTGAACATTAAGACTAGCTATGCTATTTTACTTTAAAATCAGCGTTTCATTTGGATGTACCTCTGTATATCAGAGGTACATCCAGCGCTGTGCGCGACATTTCTAGACTATTTTTTACTTAGTCATACAAAAAGGTAACATGACTTAAAAAAGACTTTGTAATTCAAAATTAAGTGAGTTAATTATGAAATTCGTGTTTTTTTTTTTTTGTTTTAAAAAAGTTTCAACTTATACCAATTTTTTTCTTCTTCGTGAAATATAACCCAAATATTGTAGAATAAAGTTTGATCGAGAAAGTTTCGATCTCCGTGGTCGAGTGGTTCACACATTGGTTTCAAGATGTCGCACTCTCTGAGGTGTGCATGTTTTTTTTTTTTTTGACGCTGATAAATGCATTCCGCATACCCGCTTTACCCTGCGCGAGCTCCACGGGTTATGTGGGACTCTCCCCTGCGGACCAACCCCAGAATAGGACTGGTCGAAGAGCAGAGGCCTACCCACTAAAACTCAGCGATGTCCCTCACTGCGGGGGATCAGCGCGCGGTAACGGTCCCCAACGGGACCACTTCCCGCGCATGCCGTCCCCGCTCGACCCACCCCTTAACAGGGCGGGTCCCGTCTCGGGTTAGGGAAGGGCTCAGGAACATTCGAGTCCAACCCCAGACAGGACAAGGAGAGTGCAATGCCTGGCGAGCGCGCTAACCCGCCAGACTTGCCCCCTGTCAAAGGCAGGAGATGCGCAATTGAGCATCTCCCACCCTTGCCCGTCTAAGAGAGGGAATTCACACGGACTGAACCCTCGTGAATCCCTCACCCCGATAGTCCCGGATGCCAATGTCTAGCCCAGCGTGCACCGAACCAGTCACCGGTATTCCGTTCCTTAGTCGCGATCAGATAGTGGCCCCGCCGAGGCCCGATCACTCCACACACCGAACGGTGTGTGGGGCAGTCCGGCCCCGACGGCCCCACTACCAGGGAGCAAGATAGAAAATTCCCTCACCAGCGTACGCCGGCCGACTCCTCGGTTTTCCTCACTACCAGCTCTCCGAGCCTCCCTGCCGATCGTAACCAGCAGGGTTGCAAGGCGAGAAGGTAGCCTTCGCGGATTCAAGACCTCGAGTACGGGAACACTGTCGTGCTCCCGACACCAGAGGCCCGTCGTCCGGTCCGCATGGAAAGATCTGAGGCACGGGAATTTGGCTGCCCACCAGGAGCAAGAAGCCCGCGTCCCCCCCCCCAGCCCACCGGCATCGCATCCGGTACCCCCTCTAAGGAGAGGGATGGAAGCAACGCCGACGGGGCGGGGGAGGGGAAAGGTAAGTGGAATAAGGTAAGTGTTTATGTAATATGTAGTTGTAGTTAGTACTAAGTGTATGAGTGACGATGTATGTGTGTGACTGCTAGTGTGTGAGTGTATGCGAGTGTGTCCGTAAGTGTGATGTTTGTGTGTGTGATGATGAGTGATCCAATGACCGCCCCTTCGGAGCCATGCCACCCCCGAGGTGGTGTCTCACGGCCCCGTAGGGGGAGGTGTGCATGTTGCAGTAAGACAAACAAAGCCATAATATTGTTATATACCTGGGGAATATAACTATATGCGAAATAATTTCATTGATAAGTAATTACAGTATTCCATTTAAGTATGCTATTTTATATTAAGTTACTTTCCTTTTCGCTCGTTTATATTGATAAAAGTTAATTTATTATCAACTAGTGGACGCCCGCGACTTCGTCCGCGTGGAAGTCGGTATCCCGTGGGAGTGAGAAGTTTTCCCAGTAAAAAGTACCCTATGTGTTATTCTGATGTATAACCTATATTGCTGTAAAGTTTTATCCAAATCCGTCCAGTAGTTTTTTCGTGAAAGAGTAACAAACATCCATACATCCATACTTACAAACTTTCGCCTTTATAATATTAATAGGATTACTTAATTAATGAGGCTTTAAATTATTTGAAGCTAAACGATATTCCTATTACAATATTGTATAATTAGATATCATACGTAATTGAATCTGAGTCGTGAATAATATTAGCGTAAAATACAAATTATCGTTGAGTAATTTTGTAGAGAAAAACTTTAAAGGTACAAGGAATTACTTCAAATCGTTTATACCTCGTGTTGTCTCTTAAGCTTAAATACATTCTATTCAAGACCGAAAAAAAAAAGACTTTTACAATTAAAAAAAGTTTTTTCTGAATTTTCATTTTCATTTCCCATAAAAGACGGATCGCGTAGTATATTAAAGCCTATGGATTTTTTCCATGCACATGTTTTCGAATAAGAATTTTTAAAATCTATCTACAATTCACGAAGAAATCAGTGAACATACATACTAAATACATACCAGTCAAACATAAAACCTCCACATATAAGATCCTGAAGTATATTAGATTGTTTTACGGTAAAAAAAAGAGGTACTAGTCACGATCATGAGTTCCGTTTATTAAAAACACAAGTATGTTGTTGCTCCAATTTTATTCCCATCAATGAATATTTATTTACTCAGGTCGGTGTTGGTTAAAATGATGGCTACATTATGCTCCGTTAGAACTCAAGGTTAACAGCAATTGTTTTTTTCGAAGGTTCCCGTTGTACAACCGAAATCTGCACATGTAACATAAAATTAACAGAAAATAATAAATTAAAGCATTTTTATTTGTTTCTAAACTGCTAATATTATAAAACGGTGTCTTCTAACTTTGTTAGTTTGTGGAGATAAATTTTCGGAAATACTGAGCCGATCATAAAATTCTGTCACCTACGGGAAGCTACATCTACAAAATTCAGCTATAATGTGATAATCAGCTTGGAATAGACACACAAAAACAGAGAACAAAACATAGACATAACAGCAATCGATAATTCTCAGCACGAAAGACGTCAACACCTCTTTTTTTCTGTCTAAAAGACTGACGCATAAATACGGTAAAAAATATACCTAGCCACTGTAGACAGAATTATTTTTAAGGAAATCAATGTTAAAATGTAACTAAAGCCGCAAAATTTGTTCTCGATGCTGATGTCCAAAACACCGGCAAATAACGTGTTCCGTAGACTGGAATAAACCTTTTTGCGTCATCTATTATACTGTCAGACACACAACGCTCAGTAGAATTACTGAGAGTCAATATTATAGATAGATGTTTTTAAACGGTCTACAAATAAGCAACAATACACTATTTTCAACACGCCTACCCAGTAAACGTTTTTGCAGATTTGTGAATAATACTTAAAGCGAGATAAAAGATATTTCTATTTATATCCCAAATTGAGGGGGAGGTTACGAGCCTCGCGTAACAAATTACAAGTTTTATCCTTCATTTCCCCAACATTAACAATTATATTAATAAAACAATTTTTGAACTTTCATCACGTCTAATTTATTGACTTCATTAAATTCATGGAGTTTACGCATCCTTTCTAGACTCTGTACTTAATTTTATTCAAAAGTTATATAATACATATAGTGTATGCAGAAACATAATTATTCATATCTAACTGACACATCGCACTTATATCACTGATATATAAAGTTTTCCATTTCTTCTCAATTTTTTCATAAGTAACTGTATTAGTAAAGACTAAAGGTATAATTTAAGAGATTCCATCCATTGGGACTTCTGTTGCCATATTGGAGAAATTAATAGGCGACTGATGATAATTACGATTATCCTGTAGATTTATACCGTAAGTTATATCAATTCTTGCTACGAACAATCTGTATCGTACTCAAAATATTTTTTTTATTATGAGTACAATAGAAATCCATAAATTACATGAAACCTTATTTTCGAAATAAAACGTAGGATTTCGGTGAGATACACAATTAAACAAAAAGTTTAATGCATGCAATGGTTAAATGCATGCGGCAAAATTATCACGTACATTTAGACATATAGAATATACAAAAAACTCACTCGTAGTCACTGAGTACACTAAAATAAACAATACACTAAATAATCTAGGACCTGGAATATATAAAAATTGAAAAAACCATATTAACATAAGTTTACCTAGCTCTACTGTCAAGGAAAAACCATCACTACAATGTATTTCTAAAATTTCACAAGAACACAAAGTAACGTACTGACGGTAAACCATAAAACTGACTAATCTTCATTAAACGAAGATGATTTCATAATTTCTTAATTATTTTTTGATGGGTCACATTTAGGATTTATTATAACAATTTAATGATACGTAAATTTCACAACAGTTGTGGTTCCCCTGTTATCATTAACGGTTCAGTTACTAAAAGAATCAATTATTAAACCATTATTATAATTACTGAGGATATAAAAGTTATCGTAACATTGACGTTGGATCATTCAGTGAGGGAAAGCAAACGAAAATGAAGTGCCTGGTAAGACAATATTTTTTTAATATCGAAATTCAAAATGTTAAATGTTTGTTCATTCATATTGATGCATTAATTCTTTAAATTTCTTTTTTGCATGTTACGTAATTGTATTCTGTGTTCCCAACCAAATATCTTAAATATTTTCCAATAAATCCTTGACTTTGTGACAAGCAAACAAAAACATATCTGAATTACTATCATTCTGTGTTGCTTAATAAATATCTGTGCTATTTGTTCTTACAGTGTTATGTTTCGAAATGTAACTTTTCATTAGTCAAGTGTACAGTGCAAATAACATGTCTCGATTTAATTAAATCTGAATTTCATTACGAGAGTGCCGCTGACAAGTTCAATAATAGAATGTAAACGTGTAATTGTATTATCAGCCTAACAAGTAACGGAAACTGTAAACTGTTGTAATTATAATATTAAAAGATTTTCATAAAATTCGATTGCACTGAAACTTTCCTAGTGATCATTAATTATGTGATAAAATTGGTCAGTTTCTCTTCTTGTTATTTTCGGAATGATAAAGATTGTTTCCTCAGTGTCTAATCAGATTTACGTTCATCAGTTATAAGTGAAATGAATGAATATGCACTTGCATTCTAATATCGAGAATCTGCTATTGGACATCAAATTCCTTGATTTGCTCATATTAAAGATTTCTTAAATTCTCAAGATATAGCAAATAAAGAAGCAAAGCTTCTTGATAGATTTCGTTTACTAACAAATATAATTATTTTCCAGGTGCTAGTTGTTTTAGCTGTTGCGGCAGCCAACGCGGCGCCTAAGCCGATTGGTGTGAGTGGACTAATGAATGGTGGCTTAGGTATCGGCGGGGGCTTTGACGCTGGTATCCGAGGTGGTGGTAGCCAGTTCGCTCAAGGAGGACAATATGGAAACTCTGCCTTCGGGACTGGTAGTCAGGGTTACGGCAATGAAGGCTTCCAGCAAGGAGGCGCCTCGATGGGTTACGACAGAGATCACCAAGAAAGTAGCTTCAGTTCGGTATGTAAAATTTGAAACTTCTATTTGACAGCTTCACAATTCATTAATCTTCTTAACTATTTACTGATTCACAGTACGATATTGTGAATAAGATAATATGGATAAGAAAGGAATGACGACTGTTGTGGAAGAGAAAGTTAAATGTAAACCACAAGTAAAATCAAGATAAGGACAAGCTTAACAAAACAGCAGAAGAAAGTATCCTATAGAGCTATCAATACAATACCTTTGGCAGTTTTGTCTAATATACTTTATCTGTATATAGATGACGCAAGGTCACCAGTCATCGAGTCACGAACGCGGGGGATCCCAGCAATACGGCAGTGCCGGAGGCAGCAGCGGAGGTTTCGGAAACTTCGCTGGTGGACAGAACAATTTCGGCAGCGGCTTCAGTGGCGGCTCGAGCGGATTTTTAGGCTAAACTCTTATTGATAGTAGATCAATGTTACCTGTTATTGTATAAGTTAAACACACGCACACAAAAAATATAACAAATTTTACCTGATTTTTGATGTCTTATTTTATAATTTTGGAAGATTATTTATCATATTTGGGTAATCATTTCTATTTATATAAATTCTCCGCTAGCTTTCGCCAGCGGCTTCGCCCGCGTGGACCCTAGGGAAATGTTTAGTGGGATAAAAAGTATCCTATTATCTAAGTCAGCTAACACCCTATCTGTATACCAAATTTCATCAAAATCCGTTCAGTAGTTTCGGCATGATTGACCGACAAACATCCAAACATCTAAAAATCCAAACATCCAAACAAAGAAACTTTCACATTTATAATATTAATAGGATAGTACAACTTAATATATGTAGTGGAAAACTCCTAGATACATTAAAAATGGTTGTAATTTTGCGTGATCCAATATTCTTATCCTATTAATAACTTTGTGGGCTCTTCCAATTACGAAACAGTTGCAAAATTTAATATACCATCGGAACATTGCGGAACAATTTATTTCTAATAATGAATATTACATATTCAATTAAGTGATTATTATATTGTGAACTGTTTACTTAACACGATTAATACTTGGCGTTCTTGTTAATTTATCTAATGACTCATCATTTAATTAACATTAACACTTAAGGAAACATCGCTGGTTTTAATAATTTAATTGGCTGTTTTAGATTTACTTAGATTTTTTTTTCATATGTTTTATTCTGTTGATGATATGAAAATAAAAGAATAACATTCGCATACATTAACGATATTTAAGGTTTCATAACGATTTTAGCTCTAATGAATTTTCTAAATTTGAAAATCGGTAATTGTAATGTCTCTGTAATGACAATTTTAATGGACGTTTGTGTAACTGAGTGTTAGTGACATTATAAATACAAACTTATAATCATCATATTAATATGTGAAGCGAAAAATTTGGACTATTCTTATGAATATCACACAGACGGAAGAGTATAATATAAGGTGTGTATAAACATTATACAAAGAAATGGTTCAGTATACTAGTATTTTTATAATACTGTAAAAAAATGCTAAATTCAATTAAAAAAAAGAAACATAACACACACTGCCATTGACCCTGTTTTTAGATATCGATTTCTATTTATATAAATTCTCCGCTAGCTTTCGCCAGCGGCTTCGCCCGCGTGGACCCTAGGGAAATGTTTAGTGGGATAAAAAGTATCCTATTATCTAAGTCAGCTAACACCCTATCTGTATACCAAATTTCATCAAAATCCGTTCAGTAGTTTCGGCATGATTGACCGACAAACATCCAAACATCTAAAAATCCAAACATCCAAACAAAGAAACTTTCACATTTATAATATTAATAGGATAGTACAACTTAATATATGTAGTGGAAAACTCCTAGATACATTAAAAATGGTTGTAATTTTGCGTGATCCAATATTCTTATCCTATTAATAACTTTGTGGGCTCTTCCAATTACGAAACAGTTGCAAAATTTAATATACCATCGGAACATTGCGGAACAATTTATTTCTAATAATGAATATTACATATTCAATTAAGTGATTATTATATTGTGAACTGTTTACTTAACACGATTAATACTTGGCGTTCTTGTTAATTTATCTAATGACTCATCATTTAATTAACATTAACACTTAAGGAAACATCGCTGGTTTTAATAATTTACTTGGCTGTTTTAGATTTACTTAGATTTTTTTTTCATATGTTTTATTCTGTTGATGATATGAAAATAAAAGAATAACATTCGCATACATTAACGATATTTAAGGTTTCATAACGATTTTAGCTCTAATGAATTTTCTAAATTTGAAAATCGGTAATTGTAATGTCTCTGTAATGACAATTTTAATGGACGTTTGTGTAACTGAGTGTTAGTGACATTATAAATACAAACTTATAATCATCATATTAATATGTGAAGCGAAAAATTTGGACTATTCTTATGAATATCACACAGACGGAAGAGTATAATATAAGGTGTGTATAAACATTATACAAAGAAATGGTTCAGTATACTAGTATTTTTATAATACTGTAAAAAAATGCTAAATTCAATTAAAAAAAAGAAACATAACACACACTGCCATTGACCCTGTTTTTAGATAAAAGTTTTGTAATTCAATTTGGAATCATTCGAGAAACAAGGAATGAATTTCTTTTTAATCTAAAATTTCAAATGTCACTATAGTCATAATAATAATTCCACATTAGTTTTTCGAAAGTATAATTCCGCACAATTAAATAAACTACTCAAAACAAAATAGGGCCCATCCCGTTTTTTGCATTAATCTCAAAATACTTATAAAAACTCTCATTTCCTGATTAAATGCGATTGAATTAGGGATTTAGAAATTACTTATGTGAGCTTAATTAATAGCACAATTTGGTCATATAATAATTAAAGTATCAAAACACTGCTAACGATTCATATAAATATGTCTTCTATAGGTAAAGACACATATAACCGTCCGAAACAATGGATACCAACAAAATTTTAGATGATCGCGGGCTGAGCTCTATATTGTTTTGGGTTGTTTATGAGAAATGACTTGGCTAGAAAAAATACTAATAAATTTAATAAAAACAAATAAGTACTACTGAGTATAGTTCAAATATTATATTCAATATTTAGTCCTTATTTAAGTTTTTCTAAACTAGTAATTATTAGCACTGAGCTGGACGAGTAAAGTAACCTATATTTTCATTAGAAACAGTTTTTGTCACATTACATAGCGAACTCCTATAAATAATTTTGCGCTACAGCCGTACTAGAGTTTGTGGTTTTAGAAGCTGTTGTTGAAAGTAAAAACTCTATGCTTTATCTATTATAATGTAATGTTTAATTTTACGCGAAGGGAAGCTTATTTTCTATAATATTTAAGCAAAAGCGATTGCTTTTGTTTTTTTACATTCTGATCTAACAACACGTAGCTCCAAACTACTGGATTGATTGAAATGACATTTTGCTATTATTTATAGAGTGCTCTGAGAAAGGATTTTGAATAATTCAACCCTTAAAGGTATTAAGTAGGGAGTATAAAAGCAGTGAAGTCAACAGTGAATCTAGTATCAGTTATTTCAGTCATATTCCTACAAACGTTTTAAACCTTAATACATTGGACATTAAAGATCAAAGTTGCTACTTTTTCATTTGGTGCTTACCTTACGAGCAACAGAGTAAAATTATTTGAAAATATCTCCACTGGTCGTCGAAGTATATAGAGGTTAAAGAATGCACGCCTTATTATTTAATTGAAACTGTGTATTAATAATATTGTTTTTGAAACAAATCATTGTTGATCACAACATCCTACACCCGTGAAATGTTCAATCTTGGATATAGCAGAGGCGGACTTTAATAGAAAAAACAAATACAGTGTTCAAAGGTATGACATATCTTTAAATATAAAATTAGATAGGAGCACAAGGTGCTAACTGTTATAATATATTATTACCAATAGCAGAATCAACAAATACTTATTATTAAATTTTAAAGATAAAAATTTTCTAATCCTCGGTCCACGTTAAAGGTCTTCATAATTTAATTATATTGTAATATTATTGAAATCCTATAACTACTACATAAAATGACGAGTGAAAATCCTCAGTTATTTAGAAAAACTCAGAAAGTATATGAATTTGAAATACTAACCAACTTACCTACAAGTAATTAATTACAATGTTCATATTTTGGCTATGTTCAATATTTTGAAAGATGGCAAAGTTTTGTGAGTGACTCGAAAATTTTGCTACTCAGTTTATATGTTTATTGTGTGTTCGATAGAAATAAATCCATTCGAGAGCCTTAACAAAATTCATATATTCATTCGAAATTATATTATATTTTCTAATCTCTCTACTTGTGATGTGCGTACAGCAACATGATTGGGGAAAATTTAATTAAAATAAACAAGCTTCAAAAGATATAAAAATTAAGAAAAAAATAAAAGTATAGCCGTTTTCCCGCAACTTTCGAAATTATATTATGTAGTTCCCGTAAGTGAAAAAAAAAATTTTGATCCAGTAGTTTCGAAGCCAATTGGATGAAAACAAACAAACAATAAAATCTTTCCTCTTTATAATATTTCTATAGATATTGAGAAAAAATACTCGTTATAATTAAAACGTGAATTCTGAAAGCACAATTTGCATATCAGTATGTCTCATAGACCCCCTTTTTCAAATAATTCACGGTTCCTTAAGATGACTCAAGTATTAAAAAAAAAGATAAAAAGAAATTGATTTATTCCGCTGTCTGCGTACGGCCCTGTCAATTTTACAATCTTAGCAACTCACCTGTGAAATTAATACCATCGCAGTTGATTAATGGAGGTCCTAGTGAGGATCTTACCATGGACTCGATGAAAGGACAATGAGGGAGCCGGTCGGTATCCCATTTAACAAACTATTTGTATAACAAAGTGTTAATTTATACAAACAATGAGGAGAATGTAATCTTGTTAACGTGAACGTGATGACGTTGTACTTTCCCATTGCTGTTAACGGTTTTAGAATTTCCAAACATAATGACGTGATAATCAGATTATATTACTTTCTTTTGACTACACTGTCTCGTAATTTGAACTAAAACAGACTTAAAAATCGAAGATAGTACTCAATAATGAGAAGGGCGGTTAAAAAATGTATGTAAAATTGATTTTTTAATTTGTTGGTTTTAATTTGCTACAAAAAAAAATGGATTAGTTGAATTTGAAAGACAAAGTGAGAATTAGCTATAATAGCAGACTGCTTTTAATTATTTATATAACTGTATAATAATCAAAATGTGATATTTATTCGATATGATCTTTGAAACTTTGTGAGCTATTTCCAACAATTGCGAAGGTGGATCTAGTCGATACGCCTTCAGTCTCTTTCATTACAAAAACAACTTGGTAATAAGTTACTAACCAACGTCAATTTCGTGTGTGAGTGAGTGCTGCTTGTGTCGTG